GCATTGGTCCTTTTCTGTAAATAAAAAAGACGTGTCGACAGACAATATTCATAGGAGACACGTCAAAAAAATAACATCAATCCCTAAAAAATAGGAGACTCATCTAAAATATTGACGTTTGTCCCTAAAAATCAGAATTACGTTTAGGTTACCAAAAGAAATAATGAACATAGTCTATTTTTGGTATTTAAATTTTTGGCATCGGTCCTTTTCTATAAATAAAAGAGACATGTCGACAAACAATATTCATTTATAAAACAAAAATTATTTTGATATCGTTAAGAAATGGGTATAACCATACTTGAGAATTAAGCTTTGAAGTCATGAACAATGACATGAGAAGATGGGTGTTGGACCTGCGTTGTTATTCCTTTTATATTTATTTTTGGTATTTTTTATTTTTTTCACATGCAAGAAAAAATTTACAAGTATTTATATATATAAAAATATCAAAAATACCATTAGAAACCCCAAAAAATTCCATGGGTGCTATTGTATAGGTAAAAAACTAAAGTACCCTTGAATTTCTTGAAAAATTATGAAAATGTCCCTGGTGGCGTGTGTGACTCGCGCGCGGTTACTGTTGGAGGAGGTGAATTTTCCTAGCTAGATTTCCAGACAAAAAATGGTTGATTCTGGTAGATCTGAGGAAGAGGACTCTGATAAAGATCGTTTCGACTTTTGTTGATGGCTGATGAGGGAGAATCATCTATTTGAAACTTTAGGTGGCCGACGAAAATCACGGTCTTTTTCCGACCAGATGAGTCTGAGAGAGAGATGAAAATTGCCTAAATTTTTCTTCAGAGGAGGCGATTAACCTTTATCTGGTGATTTGGAGGCTTTAAATGACCGGAAATGGGAGATCGAATGAGAGAGAGAGGATCAGCGACGAGAGGAGAGAGAACGTTTGAGATGTTGCTACGGTGTAAAGGCGAGCATGGTACACCGGTGCAGCTGAAGATTGTGAACTGTGGTATAGTTGATGAATTAATCCTTCGGTTGTGATTGACTTGGCTGATTTTCACTGACTATTTATAACCAATTAGGAGGTGACATAAAATCTCAATGACAGTGGCACAATCCGCTTTAAGTAAAAATTTAAATGTTATAGCTGTCTTGCCTACCATCAGTAAAATTACTCCACCTGTTATGACAAAAATTTTGTATTATTGATTTTGTTTTATTAGATATAATAATAAATATTTATAGTGGTAAAACTAAAAACTTAAATTAGTATTAGAAAAAGCTTGTTTCAACTACTAAAAATCAATTTTAATTACCAAAAATTATGTTGGAACACTAAAAAAACTTTTATATGGGTATCAACTCGATGGATAGGGTTTCTGACCAAAAATAGCCTGAAAATTATTTTTTATCCCGGTTAACATGGTGGGACCCATATTGACCCGGTGGACTCTGTTTTGATTGAAAATAATGGTCTTGACCCGAAATGACTTGAAACTTATTTTTTATCCCGGTCAACATGGTGGGGCCCATATTGACCTAGTGGATTCATTTTTTACCCTGGTTAACATGGTTTGACCCGTATTGACTCGATGAACTCGTTTTGATTGAAAATGATGGTTTTGACTTAAAACGACACGAAACTCATTTTTTTAGCCTGATCGACATGGTTTGAATAGTATTGACTCGGTGAAATTGATTTTCATGGAAAGATGCAATTGACGTGGAAAAAAATATTTTTAAAATACCATGCCTGCACATGGCATATGTCCCAAGTGTATTATAAAATATTAATAAGATGTTTAGAAATATAGTAGTTTTTATAATTTAAAATGTTTTTTATAAAATATATCAAAAAAATATTTTTTATTTTGAAAAAATTATTATAATATTAGTACATCAAAACTAAAATGATATGAAAATATAAAAAAATTAATTTTAAAAAATAAAGAATGTTTTTTTATTTTTTTTTTAAATACTGTAACACGTTTAAAACATCTCTAATTCATTGTCCTTCGCCGTTACGGTCATCATTGGGCTTTGAATTCCAATGAAATGTTATTTTTTTTTATCTTACTAGCATTTAAAAAAAAAAAGGGATAGAAGACATCCTATGAGCATTTATACCAATGTGGAAAGGAGAAAGAGAAAGAAGAGGTAAAGCGACGATGATAAATGAATGGCACTTCAAAAGATTAAAGGGCGGTGGCTATGTGCCAATTGTTATGTAGATTAAAGGTTGTATTGTATCTATCCTAAGGTACATCAGTTTGGTGATGTTCAATTATGCTCCATGCACGCCCACCCCCTGCACATGGCATGTGTCCCCAAGTGTTTTCCCCAAGTGTTTTATCTATTAAAAGGGTGTCTGAAAATATAATAGTAATGGAGATTTAAATGTTTTTTATTTTGAAATATATTAAAAAAAATTTAAAAAAAATTATTTTAATATTAATACCTTAAAACAATCTTACTAACATTTTTTTATAAAAAAAAAACATCCTACTGAGCATTTACATCGATTTGAAAAGGAGAAAGAGACAAAAGTGGTAAAGCGACGATGATAAATGAACGGCCCTTCAAAAGATTAAAGGGCGGTGGCTATCTGCCAATTGTTATGTAGATATGGCGGAGGAGACCGGTGAGCATGCTGTGCGGGCTCTCGTGTTGCTTCTAGAATATGGAATTAATATTATCATCAACAAACAGCTTGGTTTTCTCAATGTCGCGGGACATGTTAATTTTTTAAAATGTAAAAAAATGATGATATTGTTTTTAGAAGATTAATGAAAATTTAGAATCTGGTTTAATAAACTTAATTAATTTAATAATATAATTAAAATTTACGAGATTCCTAAACTTTGCATGACTATCTGATTTAATTTATTTGGACTTGATACAATTATTAAATTTAAAAAACTTAAAAAAATATTATCTTAATGTATTTTCAGATTTTAATTATTTATTTTATGTTTCTTATTTTGTTTGGTTTTTACTGCTCTTATATCAACACTTGGGATGTTTCGTTTCTTATTAGAGAATATTATTCAAATCTAACTAGATTATTCTATGGTTATGTCCAACTTTAAAGTTTTAAAACCCTAATTTTATCTTCATTGTTAGAGTTTCTTAATATAAAATGTTGATTTTTCAATAAAACGATGTACGAGGGGAAAATCTTGGGCGACTGAGAATTTTGAATATAAGCTTGATTGAGATTTTCAAATCTTAGGCGACAAAGTTGATGGAAAATTAATTTGTTCGAGGGAAAAATCAAGACTGACTAAATAGTTGGGGGCATTTATTAACTTTGCCTAAAAATTCAAATGCTATTAAGCAATACTCTCATAAATGGTGTGGATTGTTCAACGAAAAATAAATCACTGTGTATTGTGATTTTATAAACCTTTTTTTTTTAACTGCAATCTCGTAAGCCTAAATTGATGACCAATTAAAATACTTTTATTAAAGAAGAGAAAGATTAAAGTTAAAGGATTAAAATAAAAAATACAATAAATAAATAAATAAATGCTTTTGCTAAAACTAAAGCTAAATATATATTTTAATTTTTTAACTTTTTAGATTATAAGTTGTTGTTCCTTAACAATTTATGAAATTTAATTTTGATTCTAAACTTTATTTTTTTATTTTATGATCACTAATTTGAGGGGAAAAATGACTGGATTTT